TAGCTAAAAACCAAGGAAATCTAAATAGAGTCTGGACTTTAGTTACTAATACTGTACCGACATTGGCTCATTCATTGTAACAAATGTACCACACTAACGTCAGATGTTAAAAATAGGGGGATGTGGGGTGGGGTGTATGGAATACTCCATACTAGCATCTCGATTTTTCTGTAAATCTAAAACTGTTCTAAAAAATAAAGTTTAAAATTAAAATTTTTAAGAAGGCATGTATTATACAAATGACTTTCAAAAATAATCATTGAAAAATCATTAAAAAAAATATTTGACATTTAAACATGAGGGAGATAGGGAAAGATTGGTAAAGGGGACAAACTTTCAGCTGTAAGATGAATAAGGTCAGGGGCCGCCCCGTGGCCGAGTGGTTAAGTTCTCGCGCTCTTCTTTGGCGGCCCAGGGTTTTGTCGGCTCAGATCCTGGGCATGGACATGGCACCACTTGTCAGGCCACACTAAGGTGGCATCCCACATGGCACAACCAGAGGGACCTACAACTACAATTGACAACTATCTACTGGGGGACTTTGGGGAGAAGAAGGGCGGGGAAAAAAAAGAAGATTGGCAACAGATGTTAGCTCAGGTGCCAATCTTTTTTCCTTTTTTTTTTCTTTATTGCTTGAGCTTGTTTAGTCTTTTTTTTTTTTTTTTTAGGAAGATTAGTCCTGAGCTAACATCTGCCCCCAATCCTCCTCTTTTTGCTGAGGAAGACTGGCCCTGAGCTAACATCCGTGCCCATCTTCCTCTACTTTATATGTGGGACGCCTAAAACAGCATGGCTTGTCAAGTGGTGCCATGTCTACACCCGGGATCCAAACTGGTGAGCCCTGGGCCACTGAAGCGGAACGTGCGCACTTAATGGCTGTGCCACCAGGCCAGCTCCTCAAGTGCCAATCTTAAAAAAAAAAAAAAAGAATAACGTCTGAGGATCTACTGTATAACATGGTGTCCGCAGTTGATAACACCATGTGTTACAAGTGAAATTTATATGGTATAACTGAAATTAAACGTTCTCACCAAAAAGAAGATAAACATGTAAAAAAAATTCAATTTTTAAAATTGAAGGGCGTGCACCTGTGTGCGCGCTGTATGGTTATGATCTCCTTTTCCAGTGCTCCTTCCTCTGAGCTCTACAGTCTGTGCCACCTAAATGGAGACACCATGTCTGCCCTACTGCCTTCATGGCACCTCCACCCTCAGGTTATGAGTCTTTAGAGCCAAGGATCTGGTTTCCAACCCTGATTATCTCCTCTTCCTTCTTTTCTACAATTTGGTAAAGGGGCTTTTTGCACAGCTGGACTCGGTACCAATCACGGCCCCCTGAACTTCTTCAGGATTCTACCGTCTGCCAGATGTGTCTGCCTATATTAATCTCATTTTTCCCCACAGCCCTGGGGAGGGAGCATGATCATTATGCCCATTTTACAGAAGAGGAAACTGAGGCTCAGAGAGGTTGGGTAACCTGCCCACAGTCACCGTGGTTCGGAAGCAGCGGAGGGAGTAGGAGCTGGAAACTTCTTCCAGGGAGCTTTTCCCAGGGGTCCTGCGCTACCTGCTCTCAGCTGAGCTGGGCTGTGGGGAGAGGCACCTGCAGCCAAACACCTCCCGTAGGTGCTGGGGGCCCATGTGACTCCTGGGGGGAGAGGCAGGGTGAGCCACCTCTGCGGAGCCCTGAGAACAGGGGCCTGGTTACAAGGAAATGGGGCTGTGCTGTTCTGGCAGCTTCAACAGCGCGACCCCTCCCCCAGGAAGCCAAGGGCCTGCAAGGGCTCCTTGCCAGGGAGCTGCCTTTCCCTGTGAGCTGTGGGGGCTGTGGGGGCGGTGGAGAAAGCTAAGGTGGGAGGAGCTCAGCTTTTAATTTCCTGGGCTGCCCGGGGCCATTCCAAGTGGCAATCACCTGTAAGAACCAGTTGCTGCCAGCAATTCCAGAGCAGAACCAGCTGCACCAGCCTGGGTCTCCCGCCCACCCTCCCTCCCTCCCGGATGGCAGATTTTTCTTTGCTGGTTCCATTCTTAGTACAACCACGGTGTGCAGTGCCGGTGGCTCACTGCAAGCCCGGTCTGTAGACATGAGCTGGAATGACTTTGGTGAAGCTTGGAGCCGAGCCTTCTGGGAAGGAAGGTGGGAGCTGGTGGGTGAACCCCTGCTGGGCTGTAAAGACCGGCAGGGTGCTGGGACATGCACAAGTCCAGGACACTCCCGCCCAGGTCCACGGAGGGACCCAGTGAGCGTCAGGGAAGAAAGCGCAGGGAAGACAATGAATTCTGCTTCGAGAATTTCAACTCCACATTTCCTCACCACAGCATCATGGCAACTCAGAGGGAGTGTGGGGTTATGAAAAAGAGTGCAGAAAGATTTAAAATCAGATCAGGGTTCTTCCTTTGGCCATTTTTAGCTGTGTGGCCTTATAGGCACCCGCCCCCTGGGACCCTGCCTCAGTTTTCTCATCTGCATAGTGGGGATGAAAATACCTATTTTAGAGTTGGGATGATTTCAAGAGATACGGCACTGAAAGATGCTACATGAGTTGCATGCTGTTATATAGGGGTGATGACTCCATATAAGATGAAAGACGATCTGGCGGTGTTGGAACCCTCTAGCACAAGGTCTGCACTCAGCGTCAGGCCCGAGGAACGACTGGAGAATAGCTGGATGCCACATCTTAGGGGATCTTTGAGGTCACCTCATTCACCCCCTTTCCCTGCCACTTTTAGAAGAGACTGAGGTTCTAAGCGATGACCTGCCCATGGTCTCCTACGAGCTGAGCCTCGGCTGTTATCTCTAGTCGTGTGGCCCGGTGTCACTGCCACAGCCCCTGTTCCCGATGCTTCTGAGCCTGTTGGACTTGGTGACTGTCCCCAGCCCATCACTACTCGCTGCCCAGATGCCAGAATCAGCTAAGAGTTTAGTCACTACATTTCACAGATTGTAATCGAGCCAGGATCCTCCAAAATAAAAGACCAAGAAAACAAAATGGCCAATATGGTGTTTTTTTACACCTTAGAAATTACAGACCAGTTACTGAGAGATGTTAAAAGGACTTACACTTAATCTTGTTTTTATTTGACTTGGTGCATATCATGGGGAATTTTCCCCCTAGGAATGTAAGCTACGCCTGCCTCCTCTCCAAACGGTCTGGTAATATTTAAACAGGACTTGAGTCTTGTGTTTGTCACTTGAAATTTGTCCCTTATGATGTCATTAAAGTTTGAAGTAGATGTTTCGTCCAGGTGTGGAATTTAGCCCAGGTGTGGAGTGTAGCCCAGGTGTGGAATTTAGTCCAGGTGTGGAGTATGGTCCAGGTGTGGAATTTAGCCCAGGTGTGGAATTGAGCCCAGGTGTGGAGTGCGTTCCAGGTGTGGAATTGAGCCCAGGTGTGCAGTGTAGCCCAGGTGGAATGTAGCTCATATGTGGCAGCTGCTGTGTTTATCTCCAGATTCTCTAAAGCCCACAGCGTTGGTCAAAGTCTCCATCAACTAACTTCCAGCCCTGTTAACTCCCATTTTCTCTAACCAATGGATTTTCCTGGTGTACCCACCTTAGGGGTCCAAGGGCCCCCGGGTTTCTATCTTTGGTGGGGAAAAGGCAAGAAACAGGGGGTGGGGTGTTTCCTGCAGGTAAGAACGTGCTCTGGCCTCTCAGGAACCTGCAGAGAGGCTGAGCTCAGACCAGTCAGGTTCTACCCGCCCAGCCCTGGGCCACGTCCTGTCTGAGACACACTTCCTGCGGGCTCCGTGCGCCTGTCCTGATGGTGCACACGGCTGCCCTGACACCCCTCAGGGGGGTAGTTTTCTAGGCCCCCTTCCAGGGGGTCTAGGTCACGGTTAAACACACAGGCCCTGGAGTCACACGGTCTGCATTTGTGTGCCACAGCCCCACTTCAGCTGTGAGGTGACCTTACACAAGTCACTCCCAGGACCTCAGTGTTCTTGTCTCTAAAATGGGAATAATTACCATACCTTTGAGATTTTGCAAGTGTAGCTTCATGTCTGGCACAGAGTATACACTCAGTAAATATGAGCTATTACTCTTCTGAGCAGCAGACTCTCTGCTAGGTGGGCCAGGAAAGGAGGTAACATCTAAGGTGACCAATTTTGTTACCGTGGACTAGTTTGGAGAGCAAGACAAGTTTCTGACTCATCAGAGCAGATAACCTGCTCCAGCAATCACAGCCCGTATTTACTATAAGTTAAAGAATCGAGAGTGGATTCTATGAGAATCTTAAGTCCTAGTCCCAGGCCCCACGGTTAAGACGTCTTCATAGAAGCCTTGGGAGCTCTCACGCCAAAGCTGGAGACTGCGGGTTCCAGTCTCAGCAGGCGCTCCATCCAGGAAGAAATTGGAGCTCAGCTGCAGAGAGCAAAGCGGCAGACCCCCGCAGTCCAGCGCCTCCAGGTGACCGTCCTTAGAGGGACAGTACCACTGCCTTCGCGACAACCACCGGCTTCCCTCTGTTGTGCTACCATGGTGACCTGGCCTTGCAAACACTGAGAGTGCCTGGCGCTTTAACTTCCCCTCAGCAGCAAGCGTTGGGGTTTCCTCTTCCTTCACACTGAGTCACCATCTGCTGTCCCTAAGCCTCAGAGACCTGATGTCTCAGTGCTGTAACGGGCCTGGGGAAGTCCTCCCACGTGGCCCCCAGCCCACAGCCTGACCGTTTCACGGGCCACTGCGAATACCGGCCCCGGGAAGTACAGAAACCAAGGGGTGGGTGAAATCCGGAAGCTCCTCCATTCTCCAGCCGGAGCATCTTTGGAACTCAACAATTTGCCCAGTGCCAGGGACAAGGGAAGCCTCGGTGCACATCTGTGCCTTTGCGTGCCTCAGCACGGGGCCCTCAGGGGACAAGAAATTCCAAAAAGCTTCTAGAAATGGAAATTGTCAAGCTGCTTGGGAAGGGAGAGAAGCGACAGGTCATCCCCCACCCCTCCCACCCACATCCTTGCAGACGAGACCCCGCACCTGCTTTAGGTGCCGTCACTTACCCAGGGCTCCTTGGCAGATGTCTGTGCGGGTGGCTCCTCCAACGATAAATTGCGGATCGTTGCAGAGCTCCTGGGAACGAGACCCACGAAGTGCTGTCAACCCACCAGGCACGTTGCAGTCAGGACACCTCAGTTCCCAATGGGGGCATCAGACCCCTTGTCCCCCTTCTCCTTCCCTCCAGGGAAAGTTCTGCAGTTACAGTTAGACTGCCATGAGGTCCTTCTCTGACCCCTGCTCTGTGGGTCCCACTAGGTGGTGGGGGACACTTAATGCTAAAAAGGGCAATCACTGGACCCCAATACTCCAAACTACCTGGAGCCGTTTTTTTTTTTTTTTTTTGCTGAGGAAGATTGGCCCTGAGGTAACATCTGTTGACAGTCCTCCTCTTTTTTTCCCTTGAGGAAGATTGTCACTGAGCTAACATCTGTGCCAGTCTTCCTCTATTTTGTATGTGGGTTGCTGCCACAACATGGCTTGAGGAGTGGTACTAGGTCCACGCCCAGGATCTGAACCTGCGAACCCCTGGCCACTGAAGTGGAGGGTGCAAACTTAACCACTACACCAGCGGGCCGGCCCTGTGGAGCCTATTTCATCATGCCACTTCCTAGGCCATGGCATCAGGGAGTCCAGCCTCCTCTGCAGGACACTGCGACCATCCACACTCTGGAACTGCCCTACCCAGCACGCTAGCCCCTCTCCTCGGATCCTGCAGGTAAGATGTTTTGGCTGCACTGAACTCCTCCTTTCCCACCCTGCTCTCTCCTTTTCCATATCCTCCTCTATCTCAAGCCTCATTGTCTCCTCCTCCAGGAAGCCCCCCTTCGCGGTCCAGCCCTCACTCATCCCTTTGATTCTGAGCCCCACAGTATTTGTACTCTGCAGTTTAGTATTTAGTTGTGCACTGTCTGGGGGTGCTGCTGGGTATCACTGTCTTCCTAACACACACATGCCTCTTGAGGGCAGGGGGATGTAGCTAGCCTTCAGAATTCATCCACGGGGCCATGATGCTTGGAGCCTCCATATACCGTGAACCTGCTGTATATCAATCCTGGGGTGGAGCTTGACCTCGTGGAGCCCACTCAGGAACACGGTGGATACAGTCCCCATCTTACAGGTGAGGAAACAGGGTAAGGAGATCAAGCCACGTGTGCAAAGTTGCACTGCTCCTAAGTTACGGACACGGGGATTTGAACTGACTGTCCTCAAGCCTTACTCTGTCGGCGCCTGAGCTGTCTCTAACTGATGAGGGACAAGCCTAAGGGTGTTAAACCTCAGGACTGGCCCCCTCGCAGCCCTCTCTGAGTGCATTTCCTGATTCTGAAGAGCTCCACCCCAAAGCCGCAAAGGAAGTCAGAGCGTAAATCTGGGCTTCTCTGGGCTTGGGCAACCTTGGTTTGTAGGAGTTCCACCCCGTACCCCGCAGCGTGCCCCTCCTGGTCAAGCAGAAGCTTCTCCTGGGTGAGACCTGGCTCCAGCCCCTGGCCATCGTGGCTTGGATTGAGAAGCTCTTCCAGAACTACAAGCTGAGCACATTCCTTCCACGCCTCTGCATCGTGCCTCCCCTGCTCAAGTCGCTCTGTTTTGAGGATGACAGGGACAATGAGAACATTTTCTAGTGAGGCAAACGAAGCCAGCTTTGCCCAAGGTCTGCCAGCCAAACACTTATCCAGCTGATGGAATAGACCGCACCTGGTGCTGGGAGCCCAAGAACCGTATTGATAACCCTCAGTGCGCCAGGCACTTACCCCAGCAAGAATTTTCTACTATCTTTCAGAAACCTTCTCATACTTTCCACAGCCTCTCCAAAGAAGGCCAAGTTCAGAGAGGCTTTGGAAAATCCAGCCTTGTGCACGGCACGTAGGGCACTGAATTCTATACAGAACGTGACAGAGGAAAGGGCTTGAGGGCTGGGGTTTTGGATTCAGACAACCTGGGTTAGAATCCGGTTCTGCGACCCTGGCAAGTTACTTCTCTTTATGCCTCATTGAACTCTAAGGAGATGGGGTTGTTCGCACCCTGTCTTGCTAACTCCTCCCTGTCTTTATCTTTCGTCCCTTCCTCTCTGGTGACTCGACATAGAAGACATTCCAGTTGCTTTCATCTGAAACAACCTCTCAAACCCAGGTCCCTCTCTTCCTATCATTTGTCCCCTCTCCTTTGACAGCACCCTTCTGAAATTCGTAGATCATACTCTTCCTTTCCTCTTTAGAGTCCACAGCAATCCGGCTTCCACCCCACTGAAATTCCACCCCATTGCAACTGCTCTGTCAACCTCACCAGTGACTGGCTCATGTCCAGATCCAGGGGACACATAGCTGTTTCCCTTGCCTGACCCCATCCACAGCAGTGTTTGAGAAGACAGGACAGAGGCAGAGACAGCAGCTGTCAGCTGTGGGCTCTAGCCACCCATAGGCTGGACACAGCTCTGGCCCCACCCTGGACACCTGTTTGAGCAAATATTTAACTTGCCAAGTCTCAATTTCCTCAGCTGTTGGATGGGACTATAAGAGCCATATCCTCCTGGGTTGTGCAGTGCACAGCCTGCCCCACCCTAAGCAGGGGCTATGAAATGGCCCCAGATTTCTATTTCCCCATCTGGAAGACCCACAGGCATCTCCAACTGTTGGGTGACCTGTCTGTTTCCCCTCGCTAGCCCCTAAAGTCTTCAGAAGCAGGAACCATATGCACTGTGCCTGGCATACAGTACGTGCTTAATAAATGCTTATTGAATGAATGAAAGAATAAGTGAAGGAGTGGGTGAATTCACTTTGCAAGCTGTAAAGTGCTATACAAATGCAAGGTGAATATATTCTCTTATTTATCATTTTCACAGCCGTAATTTCATTTTGAGGCTCGTTGCAATCCTGCATTCATTCATTCACTCCTTCCGCGAAGAGTCCCTGTCTTTTGTTCACAGAGGTATCCCCAACATTGAAGCCGGGGCCTGGCTTATAGGAGGCATTCAGTGTTACATGAATGCACGCATACTGAGAAAGGGCGCTAACCCTGCGAGGCACTGGGATGTATGGGTGGATAATGCACACAGGGGCCCTGGAGTGCAACAGGAAAAATGAGCAAATACTTGTAATTATATTTATAAATTGTGAACATGCTTTGAAGGGCATTAGCAGGGCGGTGATAGAAATGGGGAGGGGGCTGCTAAGAATGGTCAGGAATGACCTCTTTGGGGAGGGGGCATGTGACCAAGTCCCAAAGAATGAGAGTGAGCCAGACTGGAGAAAACCAGGAAAGAGCCTGGGGGTGGGGGGGGAGCTTGTGGGAAGCGAGAAGGCCCAAAGCCGGACAGATGGGGGTGCTTATGAGAAAGTGAAGGCAGCTGGGCCGGGCCAGCCGGAAGAGAGGAAAATATTAGGCATCTCCTCTCCTTTGAGATGAAATGGAGGCAGGGAGGTTAAACAGCTCAGGCAGGCTCACCCCGCAGGTTAGCAAGCGGGCAGCCGGAGCCCCGAGCCCTGGCCTGGGGCATGTCCTATTGCAGCCCTGCCTCCCGCTGCATCTGGGGGCCCAGAAGGTGACCCGGGAGGCTCAGGGGCAGGCGTGCGCATTCTCAGAACGCCAGTCTGGAGGTTGCATTTCCCCGGGATTCTCCTTCAGGTTTGGTGGGGGAGGGACGCTCCATGAAGTGCCCATAGAAGGTGGCCGGCAGGGCCTCCCTGGGAAACAGACAACTAGATCAGGGAGCAAGCCGTCCCAAGGCCTGCCGGGGCGAGGAGGACAGGGAGCCTGGGGGCGGAACAAGGGGGGTTGGGGGTGCCCCCCCCAGGTGCTCGGGGAGGATTCTGGGCTGGTGGAATGAGGAGGCACGGGCTCCTTGCTGCATCTCCCCCATTCTTTGTTAGTCATCAGTGTAAATGTTACCGGGAGGTCTCCAGCAACATTTTGTTAAAATAAACAAGAAACTCCGATTGCATAAATTTAACCCCGACTGCATGAGACAAGCCGTAGTCACAAAAAGACCAGGCTGCGGAAGGTCCCCCTCCCTGAAGCAGAGAGTATCCGAGTTTGCCTGACTTTTCCTGGTCCCCTGTCGCCTCCCACCCTCCTTTCTCACCCCACCTCCCACCGTCTCCCCACTGGTGTCCCATAAAGTTTCCCCCAGGCCCCCTTCGTCCCCCGAGATTTTCTGAAGTCCGCAGGGGGCTCCCCTGGCGGGCCTGCTAATGGCATTTGAGGGCGGCACGCGCCCCGACCCGTCCCGGGAGGCGCCGTGGGTGGGAGAGGGGACAGGCCCGCTCTGGGGACGCGGGCCGCCCGGGGAGCCCCCGCGCGCGCCTGCACCGGGTAACGGGCTCCGGCGCCGGGCAGCGGGCGGCGCTCTGCGGTCCCGGCTGCAGCGTGGGGCTCCCCGCGCGCCCGGCCCGGCCCTGGTGGCGGAGGCCCGGGCTCGGGCGCCGCCGGCCCGCCCCGCCTGCCTACCGTGGGCCGCTTCCACTGGATGCCCTGCGTCTTGCTGGAGTAGGGGCCCAGCTCCTTGAAGCCCAGGGAGGAAGGGCCGGCCGGGAAGGAGGGGTCCTGGAAGAGCGCCCCGGCCTCCAGGCACTCTGCGTGCAGCGCCTCGTAGTCCTGGTTGAGGTACTTGACGGCCCTCTCGTGCGAGCCCAGCCCCTCGGCCGCCTCCCGGTCCCTCGCCAGCTTGGCTGCGATGCCCGACATCCTGGCGTCCCGGCGCGCGTGGCACAGCGAGCGGGGCTCGGCTCTCGCAGGGCGCGGCGCCACCGGACTGCGGGCGCCGCTACCGGGCCGAGGGCGCTGATTCACCGCCCCGGGCGCGCCCTCCGCTGCGGGGTGTGGCCTCGCCGCGCCGGCCTGCTCGGCGCCCAGCCCGGGACGCCCGGCCCGCGGCCTGCAGAGCGGCGGCACGCGGAGCCGGCGGGCCAGTGCTGCCCCCTGCGGACCGGCCCGGGCTGGGCGTCCGGGTGGACAAGGCAGGACTCCGCCAGAACCGGACAGCCAACTTCCCACCTCCCGGGGAGGAGGGCTGGCAAAACCCGGGCTGGGGCAGGCATGACCGTCCAGGAACGCCCTGGGCTCAGGAGATCAGGAGGGAGCCCAAGGAGAACAAAGGAGTTGCCATCGACTGGGCCCTCACTTTGTGCAAACTATCCTAACGGCTCTGCATGCGTTCTAAGGTCGTCTTTCTGCTGTTGAACCCGGGGGCCAGCTGGCTTTCACTACACTCAGGTGTCTGTTTGCAAAAGCGGCTGGACATGCGTTACTGAAACCCAGCCTACAGATAACATCTGTGAGCCTGTGTCACCATGGCAACCGGTGCTTGAGTCTTTCAGGAACTGAGTTGACTCTGTCCAGTTCAGGCTGGTTAAGACCACTGAATCATCATCTGGGCCCGCAGGCATGATGGCTAGGTGACCCTTTGACTTCGAGGAGCTGAAAACTCCACCCTGGGGCTGGCATTTTGTGAACTTGCCTCCTCTGAAGAGGCATGAAGCTTGACTAGGCTTGCAGCGGATGGGCAATTATGTCACTTCTCCTTACCTCCCATCACTTATCTATTCCCACCTTCAGACTACCCCGTCCCTCTATTTCATAAATATCCTCAAACCCATTTTCAGGGAGGCAGATTTGAGACTTGTTCTCTGTCTCCTCTCTCGCCTGCCCTGTGAAGTAAATCCTTGCCCTGCCGCAAACTCCTCCTCTCTGACATTGGTGTAATTGTGTGGCGGGCAAAACCACCCTGGTTCCGGAACACTCTTGTCCCCATTTTGCAGATGCGAAAACTGAGCATCAGAGCATTAAATGACATTACCCAATGTTGCACAACTGGTCAGAGGCAGAACAGGGATTCTAAATCACCCAGGCCTGTTCCAATCAGCTACACTGCTGTGGTCAGTGATTTGATCACCAATTGAGTTGCCAGATTTGGCAAATAAAAACACATCCTCCCAGTTAAATTTGAATTTCAAGTAAACACCAATAATTTTTTTTCCTTCTTCTTCTTTATTTACTTATTTATTTTTTGGTGAGGAAGATTGGCCCTGAGCTAACGTCTATGCCAGTCTTCCTCTATTTTGTACGTGGGATGCCTCCACAGCATGGCTGATGAGTGGAGTAGGTCTGCACCTGGGATCTGAACCCGTGAACCAGGGCCATCTAAGCAGAATGAGCAGAACTTTAACCACTTGGCCACGGGGCAGCCCCCAACACCAATAATTTTTTGAGTATGTTCCAAATATTGCATGGGGGCATACTTACACTAAAAAGTTATTTGTTGTTTATCTGAAACTCACATTGAACTGGGAGGATGGAGTCAATATTGGAGAGGATGTAGAACGGTGCCTGTGTTAGGGACTGCCGGGACCACTCTGTTGGGGAGAGAGCTTGAGATTCTCAGCTCATAAACAGAGAGATGTGTGTGCCGGGGAGTGCGTCCTCTGCTCCTCTCCCATCCTTCGCTAAGGTAGAAGGATTTGTGTTTCAATGGAAAGCTAAGCATTGTTTAGAGCAGTGGTTCTTGGCTGGGGTGAATTTGCCCTCCCTACCCCACCCCACCCTGGGGGACATTTGGCAATGTCTGGAGACATTTTTTATTGTCATGACCAGGGTATGGGGTGCTACTGGCCTCCATTGGGTAGGAGCCAGGAATGCTGCTAAACATCTTACAATGCCAGGAGAGCTCCCACAGCAAAGAATGATCTGGTCCAAAGTGTCAACAATGCTGAGCCTGAGAACCCCGGTTTAGAGCACTCCTTCCAGGTTATCTGAATCCAAGTCTGTCATTGGTTTTGAGTTATTTTACAGCTCTGAGTTTAGAAAACTATAGCAATGCAATGCAGATACGCAAATTAATTCTGTCCAGTGGAGGGATCTCTCCCCGCTGTGGAGAAGCACGTTGAGTCCGTCTGCATATTTATTCCAATATTCTTTACTTCATAGGTGTTTGTGCTTCTTTGACTTTCCTTTGAACCAGCTACAACATCTGCTTAGTTGCCTCATTTAATTAATGAGTTAAATGAAGTCTTTAAGATGCGTTCATTTTATATCTATACGAGACTCATGGTTTTACCTTTATTTGAGAATTTTATTTTAACCAGTGGAAGGACGACCAGATAATGGTCTGTGGAGAAAGTGGCATTTAAGTTGATTTTGAAGGAGAGTTTGAGATTTGAATATTCAGGACTTTTCTGCAAAACAATGACCTGTCAGGAAAACTTAAAAGTCTTTGGAATTAAAAGAAAAAAAGGATTCCTGGGTGTCCTCTGGGACATGAGGTGAAAGGATCCCAAGGCGCCCTTCCAGGGCATCAGATCAGTGCTTCTCTGTGCCTTTCACAGTCTTCAAGCTATTGTACAACTGTAAGTTGTAGAAAATCGATAGCATTGCAAATAATTCCGGTCCACATATATGCAAGTGAATTTTCTCTGGAGGAAGTGCAAACAGCCTGCTTCAGTTTCACATCTATTAACAAATTTCAATTCTACATTCCTAACTGGCAACTCTTTTGGATTCTCCTTTGAACTATTTTTTTTAACACCTGTCAGTTCCCTCACTCGTTAATCAGTTAATTAAAATCTTTGACATATGTTCATTTTATATTTGTATGAGAGTCATTATTTTGCCCTTTTAAGACTGTATCTTTGTTTTTTTTAAATGAAAAACTTTTATTTTATTTTTTTGGGTGAGGAAGATTGGCCCTGAGCCAACATCTGTTGCCAATCCTGTTTTTTTTTTTCGCTTGAGGAAGACTGTCACTGAGCTAACATCTGTGCCAATCTTTCTCTATTTTGTATGTGGGAGGCTGCTACAGGGTAGCTTGGTGAGCAGTGTGTAGGTCTGTGCCTGGGATCTGAACCCTCGAATCCTGGATCGCCAAAGTGGAGCATGTGAACTTAACTACCATGCCATCGGGCTGGCCCTAAGACAGTGTCTTTTAACAGACACAATGTGGACAGGTCCTGTGCCTTAGTCATTGTGCTAGTCTGGTAACCTCCTGTAACTGACTTCCCTCCCCCTCCCAACGCTGGCATTTCTTTAAGGATTAAGCATCTTTCCTTAGGCAAGGAACTGATTGCTGCGCTCACCTGTGACCTCCCAGCTCCAGACAATAGACTTGCCTCCTGCTACACCCACCGAGATAGCAGACCATTACCTGCTGTGTCCATCAAGCACTGTGCCGACAGGGCAATCTTGTGACTATTGTGGGAGGGACATTTCAATCACATGTGAAACACCCTGTTTGGGGGTATATAACCACTATGTGCACCCCACTTCTTCGGTGCCCTTTCTTCCTTCGGGAAGAAAGGCCCTGGGCCATGGTTCCTCATAAAGTTTTGTTTAATTTTCTCTTGCTATTCTGTCTCATGTGAATTTAATTCGTTCTCCGGCCAGACGAACCCACATTTGGGAAGAGGAAATGTCTTCCTCCCCTACAGTTTAAGAGGAAATGTCTTTCTCCCCTACAACAGCAATGTGGGTGACAGCCCATTTGTGGCTAGGGTCCTGCCAAACTGCAGCCAGCGTCAGGGGAATTACATTGGCCATTAGAAGGGACATTCCAATTAGAGAAGAGCATTTAAGAAGTGCATTTGAAAGCAAAGGCTTCAAAATTCCAAAATAACCATATTGAAAGTTTCATTGCAAAAAGCTAATGAAAAATTAAATTTGAGGGGCTGGCCTGGTGGCACAGTGGTTAAGTTCACACATTCTGGTTTGGCGGCCCAGAGTTCTTGGGTTTGGATCCCAGGTGCAGACATGGCACTGTTTGTCAAGCCACGTTGTGGCAGGCGTCCCACATATAAAGTAGGGAAGATGGGCATGGATGTGATGCGGGGTCGGTGAGCCGAGGAGTCGAAAGAAAGATTTCTTGGACTCTCAAGATCTGGCAGTAGTGCTCTTTTATTTAGAGAACAGTGTGGAATAGCAATGGGGACAGGACCCATGGACAGTAAAGAGCTGTTGCTGCATGGGGACAGGACCCATGGGCAGTCAGAGCTGCTGCGTGGGGATAGGACCCACTGGCAGTCAGAGATGCTGCTGGCATGGGGAGCTGCTGCTGCTGCAAACATGGGTGGAGAATAAGGCTAAATTTAAGGCATAGGTATGTGAGTTATTTCTTTACAAGACAAAGGAAAGAATATGTAAAAAGAGTTGTTAAAATGGTATTGGTGCCGGTAGGGTTCTGGTTATTGGGTGGTCCTATAACTTTTAGATAAGAATCAGACCGGATTAAGTAAACGGCAGAAGTCACCACTTAAATATTACCTTCAGCTAAAGACAAAGGAGGATGTTGGGGGTGGGGGGGTCAGTTACATGAGGTTGCCAGACAGTAAACAACTTAAGTTCTTTCCTTTGGCATTGATTAAGAGTTTCTAGAGATAAGGTCATCTCCCTTCTTCCCGGCACAGAGAGGGAGGCATCTTTACAGATGGGGGTTTCCCTTACAAATGTAAATGCCTCCCAACAAAGGGCAAGCAAACTCTGCTCCTTGGAGCCTGCTTCTCATCTGCAGTTTTAAAAGTAGCCAGCCTAAAAATCCTCATCAGATGTTAGCTCAGGGCCAGTCTTCCTCAGCAAAAAGAGGAGGATTGGCGGCAGATGTTAGTTCAGGGCTAATCTTCCTTAAAAAAAAACAAAGAAAAAGAAAAGTTAAGATTTGAGAGGTGCCTAAAAGAAAAGTTTCTACAGAAGTCTGTTAAGTTTATGCCTTTATGAACACTCCCATAGGAGTTATAACTGAACTGCTTTCTGTTTTTGCAGGTTGACATACCAAGGAGTGCAGTCAGCAGCCGCCCCATTTCTATGGAATCA